TCCGAGGTAAGGAGTACTTATCCAGAATTAAACAACAATTAACTGTTAGTTTATAATCACTTCAAATACGCACAGAACCATCCGGCTTCATTACTGGAACTATTGCAGCGTCCAACTCACTACATTGGGCTGGCTCGATTGTTTCTGCTGATTGCACTCTCTTTATCTCGTCTTCCACCTTGGATCTCAGGGAATAAGGAAGGGTACGTGCCCTAAAAAAGCAGTGTTTAGTTCCCCTGCCGTAATTCGATACTCGCCTGATATCCGTTCAGTTCTCCCAATTTATCATTTAAAATGTCAGAATATTTGTTGAGCACATCCTCCAAACGGTGGTTAATGGATTTGAACTACACTGTCTCTAGCGTAGCGCACGAGTAAGTTTAGACAATCATTCGCCACAAAATATGTCTGTAAGATTCACTTCTCTCAATGGTAATTAACATGAACAATGCATTTTCCTAGGACTGGTATCGGCTGCTCGGTGTAGTCTGCAAAGTTGATTCAGAAGGGGATAACTTGGGTAGTCTTTTAACTGATGCAGTACTTACTATGGTAACTGAGGCACCGGTATCAACTTCCATCTTAACCAACTGGCCTTCTATTTCCCAATTGCACGGTGTAGGATGGATGAAGGCTACAGATACTCGACGTTACTTTCTAAGCCGTGTTTAGCTGGTCATCTTCGTCTAAAGACTGGACGATCTTCACCGGCTATTGGGAAATCATGATGTAGCTGTGCAAGCTTTAGATCGGCAAACTCGAGCCAAATGCCCTAATTTTCCAGATTGTCGGCAGATACTCTGTTTATAACCACATTCCTCGGCCGATAAATGCTGGTTTCCACATCGGTAACAGGTAAAAGGCAATTCGGACCGTCTCGGGGTAACACTGGTTTTGGTCGATTTCTTGGATTGTGTCTGTATGGGGTTGCGAGGGAAAAGGCGCTAACTGTTTATGGACATTCTCCAGCTGGCAAAAAATATTGCAGGTCTTCTCCTAGCCCAACGTCGTCACATCTTCCGACAACAACCTTTCACGAGCTTGTTCGTTACGGAGACCGGATATCAAGCACTGTAAAGCCATTGCCTCTTCGAACTTCGTGGCTGGGATTTCACTATACCGACACTCTGGCAGGGCTTGCTGAATCCGCGCAACGAAACCAATGACAGTTTCTTCAGGGTTTGACGCACAGTCGAGTATGAATACCGCGCAGTGTATGTGTTTAGTCTTGAACCTCATAACCCACTGAGGACTTCTAGCTCGTTGTTGACTTTCGCTTTCTCACCGACACTGAGTGCATCAAAATATCTTTGGCCTTCATCCCCCAGAAATTGTCTCAGCAATTTACATTTGTGGCTCTTTGTGAATACCGTATTTGGTTGCAAGACAGATAGTAACTCCAAATAATCCAAAAAGGTGAGCTTCCGGCGGTTTCAGGTAGCCGGTGCTGGTTTCTCAGAAGGAATATTTCAAAGTAGTGTATGAATATGCAACATCGCGATAGTTTAATCTCCATCATCAGAAGGTCAAGTATGACCCTTAGCCGATGGACAGAATAGAACACTTAGACGTAGTATGGTACCATTTAATCAAGGTTTCCTACTTTACAGTGGTTAGAAAATCCGGAAAAGAAAACCAATGAAATAAGGAGGGTACAGCAAGATCATTGTCACCCAATCATATGAGCGCCTGTGTTCACCAATCAAAACTCAACTGCATACGTAACAGGCACCATACGCATTGGTTGCCGCTAAAAAAATCCCGGAAAGAGCACTGAAATCTTTGATTGCCGGACTGGGGAAAACTGAATTGTCGCAGCACCGATTGACTCCACCAGTGCCGTCCACAAATTCGCCAATAGCACGGGAAATTAAAGAACTAAAACTAGTGGTCACCATGGGGCTTTAAACCTCGTGTGCACTAATGTCCCCGAGTCAAAATCCAATATAACTAAGAGTACACTGACAGACGATCAACATTATTGGAGTTTTATATGTAACGCGATCGGTGTCCATGCCTCTCCCTTGACGTCATAGTGTATTGCGCGTCACCCAAACTCACTGCACTACGGTGGACCCCTATCAACACGGTAAACACCAAATTCGGTGGATGAGACAGAGGCCGTTCTACTGTTTGCGAATCGTTTCTCCAACACCTCGAGCGGAATGCGCACACTACCTGACATCCCGTGGAGAGAACGTTCAGCGGATCCCACTAAACATGCGGGAAACTGAAAATATGAAGAAAGAAAACTGCGATTGCTCACAGTGTTCCTGAGCTTACTGATTCCTCCGACGATGCTGTGGTACACGACCGGGAGCAATGGCACGACATCTTCGAGGCCCTTTCTCTCAGAAATATCGTCGCCGCCTCCTTGACAAGGATCCGCGTGTCACCTAACTACAAGTGGTATAGTATTAAAACGGTTGTTAAAATCTGAACTAAAGGCACAAAATCTCTTAGATAATTGGACTAGTTCTGTAGCAGGCTAGCAACAGCAATCCGTCCGAAAGCAAAGGGAACACAGACACGTTTCATTGACAAACCAATGGAGTCGTCAATCTCATTGAAAACACTTACTGTAGGATCCGACGTGGTGACAGTTACAACACCGGTCATAACACCCAAAAGAAACACAGCAGAACACGAGTGTCCACCAGGATCCGGAGCATCTGGTGCAATAATATTTCGACAGCCTGCAACTGATCCGAAAAGCGATTATCCACCGACCCTACATCGCTCGGCGTAGACTCACTCGCTTCCCCCACTACATCCAACACACTACTGGTTTCCGATCCGCACTCCTGCATGTATACAAACGTAAATTAGCCGAATTATAAATTCAACACGCGTCAGTAGCCTGGGACTTCATCGTTAACACGGAAATATGGTTGCTCTGTGAGATATCGGATGCCAAATTCGCACTGACAGTTATGTCCGGATTGCTCGAGCCAGCATGGGTGGTGGTAGCTTTCTACTTTCACGACAACTTCCAGTGCGAATCCATGCACGATTCGGAAACCGAAGTGCCCGATTCCATTTGGGGTTGCTTACGGCTGAGGGAGAACCAGGTTGGCCTAGTGTCTGTTGTTTACTGCCCACCATCGTTTGGACCTTGCAATCACCACGCTCGCCTGACCGATGTGCGCCGCTCTCAAAGCTTTAGAAGTACAGACCCTAACCAACCCACTGGGTCAGGTAACGACACCAAATTGAATGGCAGAAACGCGAAACCGAAGAGACTCCAAGCGAAAGGCATTTGCGGGTTAGGAGAATGTCATCGAGTAGTAAAAATCGGTCTGGCTTGCTCGCACTGTTTGGAATGGTATCATCCGAAATGTGCACATGTGTCCCAACAACAGTTACGGGAGCGAAATAGCTCCCAAGATGCATTTTGGTTCTGTACTGCGTGTTCCACCATCACCCTCGTTAAGTGCCTGCTTATCCTAGCTGAGAAATGCGACCGGTTAACCGCAGAAGCAGAGCAGAAGATAAAGGATAAGCTTACTTCTATGGAAGCGAGTATGCACCACAGAAGCGTAGCGGCCTCTAAGCAATGGAATGCTGAACACTCCGCTTCCCCTGAACCGCAATCAGCCATGTCTCCATCTCCGTTGTCTTCTCCAACTTTGGTAGAACGCCGGGCGAAAATAGACCGTACCTACGAGAATCAAACAGTACTCACGTCAACGAAAATCAGGCACCACTCGAAACCTCAGGTTAAGCAAATTCCACTAGACCTGACATCTAGAATTAACAAGGATGAAGCAGCCGAGCACCAACTCTCGGTACCTGTAGCTCAAATATCGCTTGTCGAGACTAAGTCTCCCAGAACATCGGTTACATATGCAGAGATTGTTGCAAGGGTCCACCGAGAGGCCGCCGTTGCTGCCTCTTCTATTGTAAACACCGTTGAGTGTGGTGTGCCACGAGCCTCAGTTCTAGGTCCACGTTTGTCTTTGATGTTTATTAATGACCTTGCACAGGGAATCGCTTCAAACTTCCTAATGTTTGCCGACGATATCAAGATCTGGCGAAGGATCCAGGCGAACGTCGACCATCATCTGCTTCAGAGTGACTTAGCTACAGTGTATCAATGGTCGACCCAAAACTTATTGCATTTCAACGTCAGTAAATGCAAGGTGCTCTCCATCCGACATCAGAGCAGCTACTCATACCGACACGAAACGAATATATTACAATAATCAACTCTCGAACGTGACTTGGGTGTCCTGGTTCAAGATGACTTGAGTTGCTCCGGGCAATCCGAAAAGGCCTCGAAGACTGGGAACCAACACGTCGGGCTGTTGAGGCGGGCGTTTGGACAAATAAACAGCTCCATATTTCGACAAATGCTCAGTGCGTATGTTCGCCCCCATGTCGAATACGCAATACAAGCCTGGTATCCATGGCTGGAACACGACCTTAATGCACTGGAGCAGCCACAACGCCGCGCATCTAAGTACGTAATTGGAATGCGCAGTCTTTCCTATCAGGAGAGGCTGCAACGATTGGGGTTGTTCAGGGGAAGCTATCACAGACTACGAAGCGACCTGATTGGGGCATACTTGATTCTGCGAGACCCACATCATGTGTGCCGCCCTTTACTACAACTCAGCAGCAATACAAACCTGAGGGGCCACTCATTAAAACTCGCAGAACAATACAGTCGTCTGGAGTGCCGCAGAAATTTCTTTTCTATTCGTGTCTGTCACCCATGGAATGCTCTCCCAGAATCGGTCGTCTCTGCACCTACACTAACAGTATTTAAAAGACGGTTGGACGATGCACTCATCCACTTGCACTTTGTTACTTAACATTATGTCTCCATCCTACACCCGGAGTATACCATGGAATTATTTGCTGTTAACTGTGGGTGTTGTGAATCTAAGTGGATCGCAGGACTACAGTGGGGCAAACGATAAGTCGTTATTTTTATATTTAAATTATTAACCACCTTACTATCCTTATCATTATTATTGTTATGTTGAAATCCCCACCAACTACCCAACGGGACTCGGAAAGCAACGCTTCTTAACCCAAATAAATTCCTTGTTCATTGCACCTGAGATGGACTTCAATTTGGTGGCTGTGTTGAGGTAGATGATAAACAAGAACTACATTCACGTTCTAGTCGTTGGCGATTTCAGCTTATACGCCCTAGAACCCCAGGCCACATCAAGCGAGCAATTCAAAACAGACACGCAAGTCCTTGTCTCAACTTTTCCACTTAAATGTCACGTCACTTCGCCCACCAGATTCAGGTAAAATTAGGCCATCCATATTGGACCCAACATTCATTAATGAAGAAGAAGATCGAGAGAGTGATCATCGACACTACCCCAGGCCACAGTGATCATGCAACCTTGCATTTCATGTACACTTGCTATGCTGAACATCCCGTGGGCCAAACTTAAACAACGCGAACCGTAACCAGTTACGACACCTTAACCCGACTCGTCGAAGTAACTGACTGGAGTTACCTAACCGAGAATGCACTAGACATTGCCTGGGAACATTTCTTTCAGTAAGTCTAACACTTTGGTTAGTGAGGCATCGGAAACCGAGATTATCAATTCGAGAATCATGGCGTCGTTTCTACGGAGTAGGACACGCAAATGCATAGTGATACGTTACGCGGCGCGGTATGCCCACAAAATCTTGAAGGCCTATTTCGTCTACCATAACCACCGTACCCAACTAGTGCGCAAGAACAAACTAGCATCTCAAGAGGATTAATCAGAGTGATTGACTTTAATTCATAAGCTTCTGTACAAACAATTAAACATCTTTCGCATGGTAAAAAGTGGATTTCCCCTCTTCCAATAGCGGATTGTCTAACTCGAACTGCCAATGAAGCATCGAATGTTCTGCAACGACAATTTGCACCTATGTCTCCTAAACCTCTGGAATCTATGGTGCTTCCATCAGTACTCACTCATATGAGTATTACGGCGGACACTGATGAAAAAGGTGATATCCATGCGCCTGTCCCGAAATTGACGACATCCGCCCAAAGAAGCTTGTTGTGACTGCCAGTGTTTTGGCTGAACGTTTGGCGTGGCCGTTACAGCACTGCATTGACCAGATGCGTGTTCCTGCAATGTGTAAACACGGGACAATAGCTGCAATTTACAAACGGGGGTAGTCATTGCGACCCAGCTTATTATCGACCAGTGACTCATCTGTCAGTTTTTCAAGTTATGAAGACTATCGATGCTGACGCACTCATGTTTTATCTGGACGGTGTTGGTCATATTGCTCAGCAGCAACGTGGCTTCCGCAAGAATCGGTCGTGCATAACCGTCCTATTTTTATCACGGGACAGATGGACGGAAAGGGCGGATAATGGTGCAGGAGTTGATGTGGATTACCTTCATTTCTCTAAGGCATTCCGCCAGCTGGACCACCGTATTTTTCTAGCCAAACTTCGAGGATGTGGCATTGGGGACCCTCTCCTTGGGTGGAGCTGCAGTATTTTCTCACACAAGTGTCTGGAGGTGAAAGCACGTGAATCAATTTCAGACCAAATTCAAGTCGAATGCGGAGTGCCACATGGTTCAGTCTGGGGCCCTGTCTATTCTTGGTCTTTATTCTTAATCTAGTGAGCCAACTCACATCAAACTGCTTACTCTACGCCAATGACATCAAAGTTTGGTGAGCAATCAGAGGTTCAAAAGACCGGATCCAGTCTCGAAACGATCTTGTTACGATCTCTGGATGGTCCGTCCAAAATCGCCTTCTATTCAATATAGATATATTTCGATTGCTTGATTTACAACAACCGATGGTTCACACTTATAAGCTGGGGGCCAGGATATGCAACACTGGTCTAATGAATAGGATCTCGGTGTGCTGGTCCATGAAGATCTCGGCTAATCGGAGCAGTCCGAAATAGCCTCGACGAAAGGAATCCAAATCGTCCGGGTTCTACAGATAATTTCCGGACACTTCAAATGATAAATTTTCCGCCAACTACTTCCCGCCCTCATGTTGAATATGCAATTAAGCATGACACCCATGGCTAAAGCGGGATCTTTCTGCCTTGGAAATTTCGCAATATCGAGCTACCGAAAATGCCAAGGAGCTATACCACTTGTGATAAGAACAGCGCCTCAGAATGCTTAGCATTTTCAGCGGACACTATTGGCGTTTGTGTGGTGACCTAATATTGGTTTGCCAAATTCTAAACCCTAATCACCCATGCCATTACCTGTCAAAACAACAGGCTGAGAGGTCATCATCTCAGTTTGGCAGAACGATACAGCCGGTTGGAGTGCCGAAGCAATTTCTTATCGTTACGCGTTTGCCACACTCATTTTCGAAGAGTGAACGAATTTATTTTATACGAGAGATTTGAGGAACTGTAGCTCTCAATTTTACCACGGCGCCAGGTGATATTTGCAAATCTTTCAGTACATATCCTTTTCTGATTCAATGATAAAAGAATCAACGGACATAACGGCACTACTCATCTCGCATATCGGTGAGCGCCTGAGCACAGTTGAATTACAAACGTCCCTGACCATACATCTACCTTATGAACAATGAACAATGAATTTATACGGGTTAAGAAGCGTTGCTTTACAAGTCCCGTTGGATAGTTGGTAGGGATATCAACATAACAATAATGATGATAAGGATAGTAAAATAGTTAATACTTTAAATATGAAAATAGGGACTTATCGTTTGCTCCGCTGTAGTCCTGCGATCCTCTTAGATTCACAGCACCAACAGTTAACAACAAATAATTCCATGGTAAACTCCAGGTGTAGGATGGAGACGTAGTGTTAAGTGACAAAGTGTAAGTGGATGAGTGCATCGTCCAACCGTCTTTTAAATACTGTTAGTGTCTGTGCAGAGACGACCGATTCTGGGAGAGCATTCCACGGGTGACAGACACGAATGGAAAAGAAATTTCTGCGGGACTCCAGACGACTGTATGGTTCTGCGAGTTTTAATGAGTGACCCCTCAGGTTTGTATTGCTGCTGAGTTGTAGTAAAGGGCGGCACACATGATGTGGGTCTCGCAGAATCAAGTTTGCCATAATCAGGTCGCCTCGTAGTCTGCGATAGCTTCCACGACTCAAGTAGGACATGATGGAACCTATCCCCCGTTTATCAAGAACTAGTGTGAGCGATTTGTTTCTGCCTCCACTTAGCATCCTTACACACACTTTTAACTACGGTGCTCACCTTGCTCAATGGAAGAATCATTTTGTTATCATAAGGATCAACAGTGAACCCGCTCGTGTAATTAAACTCTGCTCCTTAATCACCCACACCTAGCATACTTGGACTTGTGGAAAAACCAGTTGAGGATATGGTACCTGTATTCATGGATAAACGAAACATCATCAACTAGTCACATCACGATTTTCCGCAATGTTCGTCTTCCAAAGCGTGCCACACGAATATTTAAACCACACAGCAACTGTACCAGATTACGGAATCAGTCTTATGACCTTGTTCTTGAATACTGAAAAAGCCTTTATCAGAGAGCCTCATCGGAGATTACTCAAAAAGTCACGTGATTCGAGTTTTGCAGAGCCAAGGCTTTCTTCGTTGTCCTCTTTAGCAATTGGTAAATGGCAGGTGGACGAGAAAGCTGATTGCCAACAAGCACGTGTTAACCACATAACGTGCTTGGGACAGACCTCTCGAGCGTGTTGCCAAGCTCTAACCGGAATCTGATGAAATCGCGCGTCAGACGTCATGTAAGTTGCCATACCCCGGGTAGACGGATGAAGACCTGCGTGCCCGAGCAAGACGGTGAACTGGCCAGACGGAGCGGACAGCCAAGTTTGGAGCGTGGGTGCACGAGGAAGACAGGTAGCCAAATCCGCCAGGCGGTGTTTAGAGGATTGGTGAGACCGACCTATAAATATCCGCGTTCTCGGTTCTGATACAACTCTGCTCGACTGAGTCTTCTTATGTTTTCCTTCTTGTCGGGTTGGCCAAGTTGTCAAGCAGAGCAGGCGTAAGGGCGCAGATTTACCAGCAGGCGTGAACCAACCGGTTGATTGCGGGTGCAGTGTTATAACAGTGGTGCACATGAGTGACCACTTCTCTAAACCGAAAGCTGTCACGGCAGAGTAATTCAAGGAACTATTCTTGCATTCCTTTTTTCTCATATACCTTAACGATGTTCCGGTGAATAAAACATTGTGCTGCTTTTCTGTACACTGTTAACACCACATACATCACAGCCATACATCAGCACTTGGATCCTGGCACCACGCGTGCGGGATATGATTTGCCGTAGATAAGTGTAGTATCCTGTCGTACAAGTGCCAAATTCCGTCAAGGAATTTATTGCACTAATGTGTTTCTATCTCATAATACGCGGTTTATGTGTACTTCCTTCTCTCAACTTTAACCTTTTCGGAACATTGTGGCTTTCAAGTTTCGAATAGCATAAAACTTCGGATACATATGCCTTCATTTTTATCTCGTCGACTCTCGGATCGTTCTACAATGCAAATATACCGTCGAACATGGAATACTCTTCACTGGTCTAACGCAATCTTTGGAAGTCCGAACAATATACTCTTAAGATGGTCCAGTGACACTGAACGGAAAAGCTATGCGGTTATTTCTCAAAGACGCTATTGTGCAAGCGTTGGGTTACCTTAACCCAGTCTGGCCTCGAACAAAGATGCTCATAAACCACTATATATGCACTGTGTTTTACATGGTGTTCACATCATTGCACACTAGATACACGATACGCAGACGGGTGTGGAATACCATGATTCCTAAGTTTACTACAGAAATCAGACAACGCTTTAATGCATCACGGGCAATGCTGGTCTTTAGCAAAGCAAAGATTCCCATTGCACTAATATGAATTAATATCAGAAATCAGTTCTGGATGAAGAACTCTTTTCGGTAAACTCTCATCGGACCTAAACGTTTACATAATACTGATGGTGGGGAAAGCGTCAACTCGGGCTGGGATTGACTTCTGGACTGTTGGAGTGGTCAAAATCGATAACTTGAAACATAGATAGAGATGGTAAACCAAGTAAACTAAATACACAAACATACGCAAAGCTCAGTAGTCCGAAGTAATTAAGTAGGTAAGATGACAGCCAAATAACTAAGTAACAGTGTTTGTTGGCCAAGGTAGTAGTATCGGCCGTATGAATCGTTTTTGTGCACATAATTCCGGCTTCAGATGGTGAATGTAGATAGCCTCGGCGATGAATAAGATTTGTTTGCGGAATCCTTGGGAGTAGTGTTCAGGTAGTGAGTAAATGACTTTGAAATAATTCTCTGAAGCTGTATGGCCACATTCAAGGAGGTGCGACATGACTGAGCTGTCTGAAGACCTCATTTCGCCTTTGTAAAACCATGCCGGGATGTGTTCACGAATGCTCTGAGGTAGGCACCTCGTCGTATGACCCAAGTATCGTGCACCACGGGAGCACGAGTACTGATAAACTATCACTGAACGGGTGAACGACGGTAGTCTATCCTTCAATCACTGTTATGCCATCACTGGGACCGTACTCAAAGCAGATGGAAATTGGGTGTTGCCCACCCGAAAACATTGCTTTGAGTGCGGTCCCAGTGATCCAGTGACTAAGGTTCACTTCAATATGAATCACAGTCCATTAGACTGAGATTGCGCGTCGCAATCCAATCACATAACGTGTAGTCCAAACTTGCCCCTCCAATTAGTGTGGGATGTTTGGAAAAAATTATCCATGATCATTTCACTATGCGAAAATTGTCCTCCATAAGGGTTTCCTGGCTGTTCACACTTTCTCCTGACGCAAGAAAAAGTCACAGGTTCTCGGAATCATTTGATATTGTGTCAGAAAAACCACGATGCATTTGTTTAGCAAACTAATTCCACAAGATGGAAATGGATACATCACTGCGATCCAGAAACCAAAATCCAGCCAAAACAATGGAAAATGTTGAGGGCCACCTCCAACCTAGGCACGTGTTCATCCTTCAGCCAGTAAAGTCATGCTCACAGTCTTCCAGGATCAGCATGGAGTAATAACCATGGATTTACTTCCCAAAAATGTCAGTATTAGCGAAGCCTACTATGATTCACTACTCTATCAACTAAGGATGGTTATTAATTAAGTGGGACGAGACATGCTAACAAAGGGTGTCCTGCTTCTACAGGACCATGCTCCTACGCATAACGAAAAATTCGCCCACACAGAACAGGGGCTTTGTGCTTAGGAAATTCCCACTCTTCCTCTACAGCCTTCATCTGAATTTCATCAACTTTCAAATATTAACATATTTCTGAGGGAGAAACCTCTTCCTGACCATGATACTCTGAGATCAGGCTATGACTTTTGACCCAATGTGAGGACTTCTACGAACGTGGTCTATTCAGTTATATAAAGCGATGTGAGAAGTATGTATATCTGGGTACTATCTATGTTGAGAAGGAATAATATTTGTGCAAAGGCGCTATCCTCCGTGCACGGGAACTTGGTCAGGGGAAATCTTTATTGAGCTACCCACGTAGCATTGGATGGTGGTATATTTTGCCTTGTCTCTTCGAATTCTATTGCGACGAAAACGGATCTTAACGGTGCGATGGTTTATGTGCCTCAACGGCCTGTTGGGATATGCTAGGTGATGTTTTAGCACCTTCAGAGCCACTCATAGCAGGTTGATAAATGGCTAGAGGCCTGACAAACTGTTTCCTGACCCACCATGTTGAGGGTTAGGGTAAGGGTGGCTTCTTACTCCATAAAACGGACTCTCTATAATCTAATGCCAAAATCCCTCTGCCTTTCGTTCAGGTTTTTGAACCGAAGGCTTTAGTGGAAAACCCTAATCGTTCTCCTGTCTAGGTCTCGGCAACCTGACAGTATCCGTCCCATGCATTATAACATTATGACTGATTCTTCAGGTAATATTTTGGTGCTCTGGCCGCTGCAGAGGATATTAAACGGCGCGCTGTTTTCTGCACTGTGCAGGGTGGATAGGGATTAGGTTGCTACTGCCCAAGCTTTCCTGTCTTCTTATTCCCTTTCTTAGGCTTTTTCACCCTTATCGTCCCGTTTCAGCTTCACTTTTATCCCCCTGTTTTCAATCCCCTAATTCTTGGTTCTCCCCACTTTTGTTCAGTAAACCAATATCTTCTAATTTTGGCTCGCAAGCATCCACAGTCTCTTTGAACCGATATTTTCTGTCATCGCCGAAAAACATGCAATTCATTTGTCTATTTATACAAGGCTATGTTGTTTTCAATCAGTGTCCTACTTACCACTCCATTCGATGTCATCCACACAGACTAGTCTGTCGAATCGCAAGAATAACATCTCGGCATTTGTCGATAGGTTTGCACAGCACTGACTTCCAATTCGATCCAAAATGTTTTGCCTTGCTTCGTACAACTCGCCAAGCAGTTTTCCTAACTTCGATTGTCTTTCGTTTTCTTCCTGCTCCAACTGCATGAGTTGATCTCTGTTCGACGGTGAGCCAAGATCCGGACGCAGAAGCTTGGCGTGAACGAGCTGCCATCGGAATAGAGCGTGGAGACGGCAATTGAAAGGAACAAGATAATTTTGGCTGTGTTTTGCACCGTCGAGGAATATACAGCCTATTTATTTGTTTATTTACTTATTTGACATCCGGCTGTCCAGTGAACTTTCTACCATTCACCTTCGCCTCACTTGCTTCAGCAATCCCGTGTACTGTGTTCTACTGAATTCAGTCTAGTTTCCTTGTTCTGTAAGACACCAAGGGAACAAGCTATATGAAATCTCCATTTTAAATCCATTTAACGTCGAATTATATTAACCTATGTCTGCTTTTTAGTGCTGTGGGTTTCTATATGGCCTAGTACATTATAGCATGGCTTTTGTGCATTACGGTGATTTGGACATATACTTATATATTTTTAAACAGTCTATGAATAGACATAGAGCCATCAGAAACAATGGAACACAAAAGAAGGTACAGAAATTGTAAAAGAAAACACAACACATTAAAGTCCATGGTTTCGTCAGAGGGCGAGATACTACCCGTTTGCCCAAGCCGAAGTAGGGTGTTGACTTAGGGGACACCACCCCGAGCCTTTGGCTGAATAGCCTGCCTGCAAGGTAGCGGAGAAAATTCAGGGAATCGCGCCCATTGGGAGCCGGTGACTGATTGCTCAATTCATACGCCTTTCGTTTGTTTCTTTGTCAAACAAGGGCCCAATATTCCCTAGAATTACAGCTCAAAGTTGCTGGAATACAATGATTCGCCAGGATGAAGCAAGGGGCAGTAACTTTATTTAGTGGCACCGTTTGAAACTACCATTCAGACTATCCTTACGTAGAATTCATCCGTTTCGGAAACCTGTTACGAGCCCCAGGTAGCTGGTTCATCACGGGTCGGAAGGCCACATTCCGAACGACTCGTTAACCAACCATTTCCAAACAAATCGAAATACCTAAACTTCAAGTTGACTAGCGGGATAACCAGTTGATTACCGGGCTAGGGGCAATCAAACGTTTTAGCCGTTTTCTTTCTTCATCACTCGCGCTGTCCAACGTTTCACATAAACACACTTCAGTTCCCCACAGCACATAGATCATTTTAGCCTATGTGAATTCTCTGTCTTACTTTCTGCATCAAATACACACAACTGATTGCACCGCCTCTTGGAATGTGGTCTTAGCCCATTTCCAACTTAATATTGACCACTTTTAGGTCGTTGCTTCAGCCATTGAACTGATACGTAGATCTTGTCAGTCCCAAAAATTCGAACAGAATGAGGACCAGTTGGTATCTGTACCTCTCGGTCAATCAGGTTGCTCATGCTTAAAATAGCTCATACTGTATTGCTCATACTTGTACTGCTATCTCGTGCTGTGTTTTTGAGTAAATTTCTTTAAACCACTGATTATCATTTGTTCTGCGTCATTGAGTTAATGCTGAGTCGAAATCGATCCTGTGCTACCAGACGATGGTTGCTTAAATGGAAATGAATTTTGCTGCTGTAATACCCTCAATCCCGTCGTCTCTAAAAACGTCTTTAATTCACCTGCTCAGTCAATCTCCTGTGACCCGTCCCAAATTTGGTCGAATTCCCTTCCCCTCTACAAGAGATATGGTCCATCGAGGTCAGTCCATTTGAAGACGGCTGAGTGGACATTTTGCCGATTTTCAAGAGGCACAACTGATTTTGAACTGTCAGCATCACGTCCAGTATCTGCGTTGTCCGGATTTTTAGGGGCCCAATTGATACGAGAATAAGGCATTTGTGAAATGCAATCCGAGTTTTGCTTGGATCTGTGCGATCATTTAGACATGGTTACCACGTACGGCAAACACTCCAGCATTGTTAAACGGTCAGACAGCCGACCATCGTTGTCCTTCTAAATGTGATGCGCTGTTTCTCGGACTTGACACAAGTGCTCTTTTGAATTGCTTATTGGGTAGATTAACATGCCCTAAGTAATGTGCATGCAAGGCTCTCGTCCCTACCTAGCATCACCGGCTAATCGAGGCTTCTCTACCTATGCCTAAACCAACTTATTCCACCTTGCCGTAGATGGTGTCTTGCACATCATTCTGGAAAGCTATTGGTGTGACTGCGTGTTGTTATCTCTCCGTGACTATTTGGATACTTTCGAGGGCGTGGTTGGAGGGATCCAGTTCCGGATCCGCTTGTCACTGCCAATGCCGCAGGACGCTTGCGCCTACAGAAGCACTATTGGTAGCTTGCTCTGCACCACACACAGTCGAATCCACACACCCATATCCGGTTTGAACCCGAAGGAATATGACCGGGAGGCATGTGGATCGGAGCCACACTCCATCAACGGGGCCGGCCCACACTCCCTCAACCTGCATAGCGGCAAAGTTCGTGGCTATTTATGTGGTAAATCACGCTGAGCTGATGATATCAAGATATCAGGTGATATCACAGTATTTCAAGCTGATCTTGATAGGTTATAAGCGTGGTCAATTCAGAATCTACTTCGATTCAATGTGCTACACCTGTGGCACAAGTTGGTGCCACTCCTAGTGTGGTGCACTCCTAGCAACTCGGCAATCAGGAGTCTTCTGGTGAGAATGATCTGGGAGTCTTGATCCAGGTTGACCTTCGATATTTGAAACAGACTGAAACGGCGTCTAGGAGGGACATCCAACGCGTGGAACTCTTGAAACGTGCATTCGGACTATTCGTCCCTTCGATTTTTCCACAACCTCGACTCATGCATACGGCCACGTGTGGAATACGAAATACAGGTCCAACAGCCATGGCTGATGAGAGATCTCACCGCTTTGGAGATCCCCAACCCCAGATAAACAATAACGTCAAGGGTCTATGTAATCTGCCGTATGAACGAAAGCCACAACTGCTCGGCGTCTTCAACAAACAGTATGGACGGTTGTGCGAGAACCTCATTTTGATCTACCAGATTCTGAGAGATCCCAATCACACGTGCAGCAATTTGAGAGGCCACTATGTTAATCTGACAGAGTAGCACAGTCGTTTGCAATGCTGTCGGAATTTCTGTTCCGTACGCGTTTGCCGTACGTGGAAAGCCTTGCCGGAATCTGTCATATGTTCTCCCGCGCTGACGAAGTTCAAAGCACTTATTTCGCTGCACCATCTTACATGACCCATTACCCATAGAGAAACACAAGTGTCTGTAAGCGATTTCACTGGCGTTCGAATCCCAGAATCCGTCCTACTTTTTCACCTCCTGTATGTGTACAACACGAGGAGGCAGGATTTTACCAACATCCCACTTGCCGTCATTACTTATGGAGTTACCTTGGATTACGGCTTATACTACGTATATCTCCGTGAGTTCACCGGTGTATAACCAATTTTGCAACCAATTTTTTGTATTTTGAATTTTTACCATAACCATCCTATGGAACCTGCTAAGCATTAACACTTTTACCTGTATAAAACCACTGTTCCATAGTAGTCTGTTTTACACTGGATGCAACCACTCTTTGAACCTAGCACTGCCACAAGGACTGTGCAACCTGCCACTCTCAGCAAAGATAATCAGTCACCTGGAGCCAGCGATCGCGATGGAGGGTGTTAGACAGGTGGGCACTTTGTCAACATTCAGCTCAAGCGCAGCCACACCGGGGATACCAAACAAACAACATAAAGTTTGAAGGAAATTAAACACCTGAAATCGACACGGAATATGCAGTATGGTTGGCGGCATCCGGTTCCGGATTTGCCTGTCACTGTGGCCTCCACGGGAACATCCACAGCACGCTTGCGCCTACAGAGGGACCATGGATGGCTTGCGTTACACCATTCACAGCTCCATCTACACACCCCATATCCAGTGTAAACCCGAAGGAATAAGACCAGGTGGCATGTGGATGGGAGCCATGTTTCATCAACGGAGTCGGCCCACATTCACACACAGGCAAACACAAGCAAGCTGTTCAAAGCTGAATTTAGGGAACACCTTGTGTGGTTGAGTTGCGACTCACAACTTCTATAGAGATGTCGGTTCTCTTTGAGGTAAACCTCGGTTATTCCGATCTCGAGGACCGTATCTGGAGTGGAAATATTTGGGTGTTGCTCTTCCCAACACTGGCACACCACCAGTGTTAAGAAGAGCAACACCCAAATACAAGCACGCTGTATTTGGGGAAGCAAGTGCAACCGAGGCGTTGGTTAGGCCGTAGCTCCCTCCACACACAAAGCATGTGTATAGAACCACTCTTTGAGCATAACACGGTCACGAGGACCGTGCACCCCGTCCCCTCCAGAAACAACCAACTGTCTTCTGGTCGAGGTAGTGGGTAATAGACTGGTAGGCACCTTGTCAACATGCACATCAGTAGCAGCCACATCGGGGATGTCAGGCGACAGCCAATCACTCGAACTAACAATTTCAAAAAAATATATCGATTAATGCATACGGATAAGCCGATATAAGTCTTCGTTAAATTAGCATATATATAGTTATTTGGTTAGCAACAAATCCGTGATAAGCAGAAAATATCCGAAACTATTTAAAAATAAGTTTAAACGCGATACAGTTAGCGAAGATTGCCCCAATTAGCTTAAGCAATGTGTGCAAGTTAACAGAAGCTTATTCAGGTAAGGAGAACAAACCAAATAATGTGGAATGAATTTTATCCAGATTAAAAATACCTGTTGAAAGTGTAACCTGGTTTAGGCCAACTGCAGTGTATAAGCATCATGAATGCAAAATCAGCCTCAGCATGGGGCGAACAATGCAGCATACAGGTAGTCTAATTCGCATCTGTCGCTTATTCTACTACAACGCATTCATAAGCAGAACATTGTTCATAATTTCATTGCAAGGAGTTGACTCATCTAGAAAATGATGTTGGCTGATTCCGACAGCACGCTTAAAAATACGTGACTCAGACGTCAATACGATTCCAAGCTACATACTTTTTCTGTCGCCTTCACATACTTACAAAATCAACAGTAGTAAATCTCCTTATCAGATAAGTAAGGGCGTTTTGCATACCCGGAGTTGCGTTAGCCGTTCTATTTCCACACCGTGCTCCTCTTCGCAAGCCAAAAGCTGGTCGAGTGTTCTCGACTTCATTTCGTTCGTAATGTAGGCAAATAGCACAGGTGGAAGACGACTTGCTAGTTCCTCCAATCTTGTGAGTTGTCTGGCGAACTCTGAAAAACAAACATTGCCCGCAGTAAATATTGAATAACGGATGTGTAAATTCGGTTTCTGATTATTTTGGTTATAAAACTAGTACGCCTTGGCTTCTGTTTGTCGCTCGAATTCGAATTGCCTCTTGTACGTTTGATGAGTTTTTCTCAACTATATTAGCAATGCTGAAACAGTTTTCAGGTCCACCGTTTTTAGGCAATCCGCTATTCACATCCTCATTTTTGTAACCTTCACTTCAGCCATACTTTCCGGAGTGAACTATCATTTCATCCGCTTTTTATACAGCTTCCATCAACACTAGGGTTAAACCACGGATCGTTCACGGCAGCCAATGGGATGAAAACGCTGATGTCATTGCACGTGCACAGCTCACCTGGCGTGGACAACATCAAACCGAAGGCCTTGAAGACAGCGGCTATGAATCTTGCCAAACCATTAGCTCGGTTCTTTCAACGTTTTGTCGAATAAATGCAGGTTCCCACAATGTGGAAGCATGGAGTAGTCACTCCTATTTACAAAAGTGGTAATCGTTCGAAGCCCTCGAACTACCAACCAACCACTCTCCTCCCAGTTTTATCCAAAGTAATGGAAGATATAATTGCAGAGGCGCTCAGGGGATATCTTGAGAGCAACAACATCCTAGTGTCACAGCAACACGAATTCCGCTGAAATCGATCCTGCACTAAACACTTGCTGCTAACCCGAGCAAGCTGGGCAGAGTCAGCCGATGTCAGAGTGGGATTCGACGTCCTCTACCTGGAATTCTCGAAAGAGTTCGATCTTTTGGACCACCGCATTCTCCTGCACAAGCTTCGAAGCTATGGAATCGGTGACCCTATACTCGGTTGGATCGGCAACTTCCTCGCTCAACGTCAGCTGAATATATGAGACCGCAGCTACATTTCCGACCCATCGACGTCCAGTGTGGCGTGTCGCAAGATTCGGTACTGGGACCACGTTTATACCTCAGATTCATTAAGGACCTTGGCAGTGTACTGCAGTCGAATTTCTTACTATTTGCAGATGATATCAAAATTTTGGCATGATATCACGACATCGGATGATCACATAACATTGCAAAGCGATCTTGACAGAGCTTATGCTTGGTCATCCGACAACCGGCTCAAGTTTAACGTGACCAAATGCAAAGTCGTAAGCATACGCCATCAGCTTATCTACGAATATCGAGTTGGGGACCAGCAGTTACGACGTGCTTCCCAAGAAAACGACCTCGGGGTGGTCGTGCAGGACGACCTTGGTTGCTCGAGACAGGCTGAAAAGGCATCAGAAAGAGCCATTCAACATCTTGGACACTTACGGAGTTCTTTCGGCAATTCTGAGCCATCAATCTTTCCGCAAATGCTGAACACCTACGTGAGGCCTCACGTGGAATATGCGATCTAGGCCTGGCGTCTCTGGCGCAGGCGCGACGTCGATGCGCTTGAAGCTCCGCAAGGTAGAGTGACCAAACTAGTTGGAGGATTCTTTCATCACTTATCAACACAGACTGCAGTCCCTGAGATTGTACAGTGGTGAATATCGACGTCAGCGAGGAGATCTAATCCTGGTTTACTTAATATTGACGAACCCAACTCACCTATGTCGCAATCTGTTGCAACTGAGCCGAAATACCAACCTGAGAGGTCATCAACTCAAACTGGCTACGCACTACAGTCGACTTGATTGTCGACGAAACGTTTTCTCCCTCCGTGTGTCCCGTGTGTTGTATGCCCTTCCGACTCCCATTGTCCTTGCCTCTACATTAACATTTTTCAAAAAACGTCTTGATGAAACGCTTTCAGACTTGCATTACTTGATATAGTCCGTTCCACTTAGAGGACGAAACAAAGCAAACCTAACCGTGTGCTTAACGGCCCTCTCCGCAACGTAGCGGTGAGGATACATGCAGAAGTGTCCATATGATTAGCCTGGATGTAGCCAAACTGGATTAACCTATCACTTCTGTCAAATGAAGCAAGAAACGAGTGAACGTTGTCGTTTCCTTTTTTATTTTGCATGCACTTACTGAACTTTAACAGCTCTATAGTATTTTGCGTGTGCACATCCCCTTCCCACTTAAAACTATCGTTATGCAGTAGTGCATGTAACTCGGCGGGCGCTTGAAATAACCATTTACTTACAAGATAATCCTTCAAAGTTTAATTTTGACTCCAACCATCCAACGGGAGTTGTCAAGCACATGATTTTTTACCCGTGACAAATCATTGTTCATTGATCTACATAACATCTATTATGTAACATTTGTGCGGCATGTATTGTTACTCTTCTTCCCCGCAAATGGCAAATTCACGCTATCCAACTTTTCTTTCCATCTCTCCACCGCCATCTAGCAAAGGCTCGCTTGAAATCCACACTGCGCTAAGCCAATAGTCAATCTATTCTTCTTTGGGACTTGAACCAGGATCCGCTCAGTGTCCTAGCATAGCTGTGCGATGGGTTGTTTTAGTACCAAAGGCTTGCTGTCTATTGGAATGACACAAACTAGCCATTGCAAATATCTTGCTCACACGGGTTAATTGAAAACGTTATTCCGAAAAGCGCCGTTCCAATACTGTGCTTCACTGCGCAACTGATGCTTCCATACTGTACTTTGCCGAGGGAGATATTCATGTTCACTCGTGCTCCTACCGTCTAACATGTGTAGATCAAACATACGACAAGCCTCTTTTGCTAACTGGTCAGTGAGTGTCAACAACCTTTTAAAGCACGTGTATCTCTTTAGCGGTTTTCATCATAATCGTCGGGTTCCAGGTTTCACATCGGTCCTCCAGTACGGCCGCACTCCATCTCGGCCGTTACCTCACCCGTCGTTACCGTTCCACTTCCCCTCACACATTATTGTTCGTACTTTCATTCAAATCAGTTCGACGACCGCTACTCAGTGATATCCACCTCTTGGATATAACTTGTATGGATCATACCGTTCCTCCGGTTCACAGCCTTGGCATATGCTTAGTCGAGATCTACGCATGCAATTACGTCAATTCTGAGCAGTTTCGGAATAATTTTGAGTTCATTCGGCAGAGGATGCTGAGGACTCTCAAACCATCCTGCGACCACCTCTGCAAGCTGCAAAATAAAGCTACGGGATATTTTGTGTCGGTCCCCCAATGAAACACCGGTATGAAGCTATTGCTTGTCAGCGTCCTGCTTGCCTCGCCAGAAATGTCTTTATTTTTTTACTTTTCATTCCGACCACCTTACGGAATTCGTCAAACATTTGTTTTTTGCTCGCCATAAACTCTGGTTATGCAACGCTCTTTTCTTCTGCTGTGATTCGCATAGCTAAGTGATTTGGCTCATATTTCTGCCTCGTGAATAACTTTTCTACGCACCAATCACTGGGCCATTCAAACAATCTATTCTATACAACTCAACATCTATGTTTTCGCCTCCTTATACATGACGCTCTAAACACTTGGAGAATGAGTTAGATTTTGGTCCACTTACCTTTCACGGTGGATACACGAAGCACCTCCACCCCATCGTACTTCTGACGTAGTGTGTTCACTAGTGTGTTCTTGGCTTCATCGAAGGTGTTCGGTATGAGAGACGGCCGAGTTGGTTGACGTGCACCCTTTTGACGGTAGTATAGCTTGGTCAAGAGAAGTGTGGAAAAGCGATAGTTTACCGAATTACATGCATATTGCGTTATGTGGTTTACTTTCGGTGTTATCTAATGCAACCTTGCACATGCAAACTGTTGATGAGGCAGTCGTCTCAATGGTAAATTTCGTGAACTAGTGTACTTAATCCCTTCAGCAGGTTGCAGTGGACGGGATTTCTTGATCATATGTGTAAATAGCAACTCGTATGGTGACATTGAAAACTCCTAGAAGTACGGGTTCAATCCAAAAGTTAAGATGGATGTGATGTGTGGCGCTGTTTTACGAAGGATAATGCCATTAACTCCAAAACCAACCTCAAACACATCCGGACGACGAAACTGCACAAAAACTCCTCCATTGAACTTATGCTCGCTGCCGAATGATGTCAAGCCGAAGTGCGACTGACCAAAGAACCGACCAGAGAAAGGGCTGCCAAACATGTTCTATGTGGCGATGCGGTGACCGAACAAATCAATTTTCCTGCGGACTGCGCGTACATGTGAAACACTTAATATCGGACTTTAGGACTAGAGATGACTGTACAGAGCTGAGAGCAAGACTGGCTCACCAACGCACCAGTTCAAGTGATATCTAAACTATCAATTTGAAATAATCACTGCCATAATTCCGAGCGTGTCCGTGAACTGGAGCCTCAGTTGTAGTATTGAACGGGTCCAAAGAGATGGACAAAATAGGGACAAGAATGGATGGGTTCAGGTCAGTGTAGTTGAACCGCTTCGTTGGGGTTGTTGACCATAAAAAGCAAGGCAAAGTAGCGATGGCATCAACGACATGCTCGTATAGTCAAAAGTTCGATACACGCCCCAGTTAAAATCGACTTGGATTTTTACTGGCTTAGATTGATTGGCTCCGCTCTAGTTGTCCCTATCCAACTCTATCCACACAAAGGAATACAGGGCTTGCACATGTTTGGCTCACATCATCCTCCCTGGAGCGGAAGATCCACAGATTTGCCCCTAGATTGTGGGGAGCCAACAGATGTGACTAATTTCCCCTTTTCTTCTCTGCCCTCAAGTAGACAGACCTACCGTATATCCCTCTTAAGTGGACCAACTTTCCGTTTAGCAGCCCCAGTTCTGACCAACTCGATTATCCGATGTGATGCGTTCTTCAGTTACTCCGCGTCCATTTCCTCATGAGGATATCCCGGGAACAACTAATACGACGTCATCTAGCTTAAATTGCCGCCCGTCGATATCGCACATTATGTGATCTGTCCATGGTTTGGTCTTACAGTAACCGCTGTGTCTGGATTGCGACATGTACTCTCGGTTGAGGTTACCGTTTTCTTTGTACCAATCATTATCATTACCATCACTAGGACCGCATCCGAAGTGGATAGTTTCGCAACTGCCCTCTCAAAATGGCAATCCATGATCGACTGGTTTCTTCTTGATTTGGACTCGTCAGCAAAGATAGCTTGAGCTGAATGCGTGACCCGGCACATAATGTTTAACGAGTTGCGCCTTGGTCACCTGGCCAGAGCTTCACGAGCAGTCCTTGACACGGTGGTTAGAGGCAAATTGTTGGGTCATTGAGTTTACCAATTTCAAATGAAAGTCTTTCTATTACCATTTTTGGGTGCAGCATTGACGAATTACGTAGTGTCAGATTCGGTGATGTCGCGCGTGGTCCCTCCATTACATCCTCGTGTGAAACAAGTCAAGTCAAGAATGCGCTTTTATGAACTTGTGAAGGATGAATTTTCAGCCTTGACATACATGCTATTCGACATAACAACATAGCTATTCAAAAGCGACAGAAAAATAAGCTGCTCTATGAAAAACGAAACTACTCGGCAGAATTTACCGGCCAATTTTGAATAAAATTATGTTGGTCAAATAGATATTTGGTAAATAAAGAATGAATGACTACCCATTAGCCCTAGTGTGGGTATATATTGCTCTATACATTTGTTTGGTCGACGAGGTAGTTATGCAATTATAAAGTGCAGTGTGAGGAAGGTATTTAATGTCCATGAGTATGTTTGAAGCAAGTTTTGTACATGAATTAACAGGCGCAGATCCAGTTTACTTGTTTTTCAGGTAGGATTTCTCATTTACAAATTTTAAAATAGAAAGAAGAAATATTTTAACAGGGTACACAGAATTTAGGTATTTCGATTATTTTAATGCTTTCGTTCCAGCAGCTCACAAGCTACATAGCTCAGCTAGGATCCGGAAACGCACCAGATCATGGCTTCCTCTCACTAGACGCTAGGTTCATGGCATTTGAAACTAAGAGACGCTACAATTTATAGTACTTATGAGTAGGAAGATTTTAGTCGTAATTTTAACGTTTTTGTCTTTTAAGCTCACAAGCTGCACAGCTCATTCATAATCCGGATAAGCACCAGACGTTTTACGTCCTATTGGGGCTTGTTAATGGTGCGCATTCTCTTGGTTCCCTACTGGGGGTCGGGCCCAGGACCGCTAGAGGGGGACGCCAACTATCCAGCAGCTGAAGCTACTGAGCCATGGGGGACGGCAGCTGGGCTACTTAATTTGCAAGCGAACTGGGATATGACATGAGCTATCTTCCACTGTAGACACCAGAAACTGTTGAAGCTCAAATAATGTCCCGTCCAAGTGGACTTTCGGTGCACAGGTAGTGTGAATGTACCTATTGCTTTTGCCAAAGTTGGCATCGGGATACCCCTCTAGCGAGACAAGTGCTTCATTGAGCTGTCAGGCAGCGAGCAATGCTTACACAGTAGGCTTGGAAAACACAGGAGAACAATAAGTTCAGGGTGGCAGAATGCACGTAGTGAAGGGTTTCAGAATAAAATTGTATGACATGCGGGATGATCGCAATCGAACGACGTAAAACGAAATTTGCCTGAGTTCGGTGAATATTTACTTCACTTGGAGTGAATTTGACGGGAGTTGCAACTGCTGGTGTGTGGACACGCTACAATATCCGCAGGCAAATGGCCCATCGAACGCCACGCAACATTTCGAGGAGTACCAGACATGTGCAATTCAGCACGATGGAAAGTGAGGATGTCTTCGGAAGCAGATTGGTCAGCCGAGCAGCGAATGGGCGGCGCACACCCGCGTCGAGCTCTGCAAGTACAGCCACCGAATATCTACTGAGTGTGCAGGTGACCAATCGGGCGCCAGCAGGTTCCAAAATCATAGGCAAAGTGGCGCATATCCGTGAGGAGCGGATTGGTGCGATCTGGAGCCAAGCTTTGTTGCGGTATTGAACCGAGGGAAGAAGCTTGCAGCCTAGAGTACAAGTGGCCAACCGAGACAGTCGTACAATCAACCCAGAAAGTCGGCAACGTAGCTCGAGGTGAATTTAGTCAGAATGAACTTTGTGAGCAAGCACAAACCGACTGGAATGGAGCCAGAGGCAGAATGCAAATAACAACGATGAGCCAGTGGAGCGAACTGTAGCCTATTGTGTAAAAAAGCAATAAATATGCACGCGTAATCTTAATAAATGACTACGTGATCGTGGCCCGTTCTTCTGGATTTCCGCAGGGCTACTCGACAGTGACCACGACAAATCATGGTTCATTTTAATTTTGATACTTGACTGAAGTACAGAAGCTCAAACTCTCACCTTCCGTCTGAATTTTGTGGCATTCCGTGGCTAGTTCTTGATAACGTACTGCTCGATATAGTGATAAAAGACTGCTATTGCCATTGGACACGTTCAGCGTCAAGCAGCGGGAGTTTGGCCATTACGCTATTTCGTCAAAACAACTTTGTAGCTTGGCTGAGTATGTCGTGGTTTGATGATTCACGTCAATTACAGCGTCATCTGCATATTTCGGACAGAATGATTTCCTCTACGACATATATAGAGCTAACTTAGGTAGAGAACAACATTGGTGATAAAATAGCCACTTAAAGGATACCGGATGTTGCGGAAACTAGTGAGTAGCATTTGCCGCCAAAGCTAGTGACCTAAGTTTGTTTGGCGAAATAACCCTCTAGCAAAATAAATAGGGAAGGCTGAATGCTACACGTCTGTAGATCGTGCTACAACAATTTCCCATTAATACAGCCGAAAGCGCTGCTGTAGTCGAAGAAGCAGACGCGTATGGATTTGCTCTTACTGTCTAACGAGGACAAGAATGAATGCACTAGACATGCCACCGCAACTTGTGTAGATGAACTTCTATAAACAAACTGCATTGGGTCATCCAAGAGGGACTGGGTCAGCAATGTTTTCTGGCATGCTTTTCTCAAAAACATTCAAAACCATCGAAATGGATGCAACTGGTTGATATTTACCCGTCCCTATTTCGGTACTGGCGTTATGCTTGCAGTCATTTAATATTTCCTTACTTTAAGCACATTGTGTATAGCTTAGTCAGAGGTCGGTCTAAGGAATCGGAACATTGCTTGCGGATGACGGGTGCCAGATCGTCAGTAAAACAAGTCTTGCGTGAGTGAGGCTGGGCTAGCTTCTTGATCAGTGATGATACGTGGACAGGAGACACTGAGTCCGTAGACCACTAAAACGGTGCGGTTGATGAGTCAGAGGACGAGTCATCGTTAATGTAATAGGAGTTGCGATTAAGCGCCTCTACCGCCACATCAGCATTCGTACTTTGACGCAGGACTCCGCTGAGCTGTTTCATAATCCATCAAAACTCCAGACAACTATTGTTTCCCAGAATTGGTTGGTGCACTTCTTTGCTTAATGGAGCAGAAAGGGACTTCACGAAAGCATGAGGTTTGCTTGTGGAATCTCCTTCCTTGAACCTACGGAGCTGCTTGACTTGTGGTGAAGAAGAGCGAGGAGTCCGGATGAAGTTGATTTTATCGGGCAGTACTGATCATAACAAAGTTCAAATAACTTATTACTTGGTCACAGCATGTTGATATATCCGTGTCGCCACCGAAGCGTGGCGAACCTATCATTTTTCTTAGCGGCGCCATGCTTGAATTTACAGATTGTCTCTGTTTCCATCTGCGATCATTGCAGCGAGTGGCATTCTTGTGGTTTG